GAAAAACCCAATATTTCAGTGTAGACCTTTTGTTACCGTTTGAGGGGGGTAGCCAAGCGTTCCGCCGTACTGTGTGGCACCCTCGGGCAGCCAGGTCTGCGCCCCTCTGCAGTGTCAGAGTTCAGTCACACATCCTGGCGTGCTTCGTAGCTGGTGCTGCGAGATGCTCTTGGTCGTTTGAGAGAGTTTCTGATTTCAGAGATGATAACGAAGCATCTCAGATTGGAGTAGCCTTGGTTTAATTTGTCCTCATTTTGTTTATAACTTTCTTATTTCAAATATTAATACCTTGACAGTTTCTTGCAGAAGAAACAAGAAACAAATATCACATATTTGCAGATAAAAACCTGGCACCCTTCTCTTTCCGGTGATGCAAACGTTTGCTGGTATTTCTTACACTCCACATCTTTTGCAGATCTTACGGTGATTCCCAGTGATGCTTGCTTCCATTTCTGCCCCTGATGGGTAACTTTAATTGTATGCTCTTCAGCCTGATTGAACATCCTGCCCCCAACCCTAGATTTTGTGCCGATGTGATTTAGGGAAAACCTCACATTTCAAAAGAGAAAGATAAGGTTATCTCTGGGAAGATGTGGAATTCTTTGTTGTGGCTTTGGGGGCGGTTTTGTGTGTTTTTTTTAATGGCAGCTGTTTGAAACTGATGAAAGATCGGGAATGTTAACATTTCCTCACTGGGGGAGCCGAGTGCAGGTGAGATGGTCAAAGGTGCGTGATAAATGTAATTTATCACGTGGATATCACTATCGCATATCTGGTGTATTTATGCAGAACTTAACGGCCAACCTGTGATTTGCAGTAACACGTTTGCTTCCTTGAAAGCAGATTTCATTGCTCCTTTGTGGTGCTATTTATTTCCAAAGAGATTTGTTTTTCTAGTAAACCTAGACACCCTCAAATTATTTCTCCTGATTTTACAAAGGAAGGACTAGCAGGAAAATAATGACATTCACTTGAAGCCTTTAATAGCATAAAGACAGGAAAAAGAGGCGAAGCTGGGCAGAGTGTCCTGGTCTGCTGGATCCTCCTGCGCAGGATCCACGGCCAGGAGAGCTCCTGACTGTGCCACGCTGCTCTTGACCCCGTCTTTAGGAAGTAACAGAGCTAGTTATTTTGGCGTGCGAGAGGCACAACACATACGTGCTTTAAATGACTCTTCTCTTGCTGGTCTTTCTCCCCAGACTAATGCTGCAGCTTGCTTGTTAGAAATGTTGGTTGTCCATTTAAATTTGTTTTTTCTAGTTAGCCGAAAAACTGAATCTGAAGTAAACATTTCCAAGTGCCATCGCCCGTATTTTGCCTTACACATTTTGCACGTCTCCCAGTGACCTTCCAGTGCTTATGTGCTGAAGGCTGGATCCCAGCCGGCGAGCAGTGTCGGTGTCTCAGAGCGGAGCAGTTGAGTGCCGCGGCGTTCATATAAACCACCCAGTTAGATGGAAGTGACAAGCAGGGGTCCTCAACATAATGTGCTTATCAGTTAAGGGGATTTATTCTGAGTAGGTGGCGGTGGTGTAGCAGATAACAGCCCTGAGAGTATAGCAGACATTACAGACCCATGGTGGCCTGGAGCCATAGGTATTACTGCACCAAAGAATGTTTATCTCAAGAGACTATTTAGTTTATCTCAGATGCTCCACTTCTGGTCTCGCTTTCCTGAAAGACATCTTGTACTGATTTTCATTCATTTTCTGAAATTTAAATAATTCCTGGGGCTATGGAATTTATAGACTGAGTATCAATTGTAATCATGTGGAGGCTGATTTTTAAATTGCCTTTACTTTGTAATTCAAATTGTGTTGTATGGTAGACATTAATTATGTCAGCCAACATCTATTTACAAATGGGGATTTAAAAACGGGCAGCTCTTATCAGCTAGTGACATTTGGCAGATGGATGGTTTCAGTAACAAAAAAAAAGAGAAGGGGGGGGGCTGCACCCAACCTGTCAACGGCTGGAGTCTCTCATACCTTCCCTGGTGTAGCACTTGTCTGCCAGGAGGAGGGAGAGCAAAGCAACAGCTTAATTGCATGCAAAATAAGCTTGGAGATCTTTGTGTCCCTTCCAGTTAAGCACTTTGAGCTTTCCGAGCCCCTTGATGTGGGAGCAGGTCTGGGAGCCAGCCGCCCGTGGGAGCGGGGCAGCTCCGCCGTCCTGCCACGGAGCAGAGGAGGCTCCGGCCATAAAGTCCCTCTAGTAAACTCAGCTTTTCGGGGTTTCGCTTCTCAGATGAAAGAAGACAGAATTTGTGGTCTGTTCCAGAGGAAAAGGAGATATTCATGTCGCTGACATATGAGAATTGGAAGCCGGGGGCCCAGGGGTGTGCTTTGTGGGGGTAAAAACTGTAAAAGCCGAGGCGGGGGGACAATACCAGTAAGCAGCTGGTCTGAATTTAGGACAAAAGCCAGTGGGCTGGTTTTTTTCCCCCCCTTTCCATCTTCACAAGAGACAAAAGAAGCGGCAGTTCCACCGCTGGGGCACCTGGGGGACCGACCCCACGAATCAACAGGCACGATGTGCCCGTACCCGCTTCTCTGCCGCGCGCGTGGTTGTTGGGGTCCCCGGAGGAGATGGGGCCGTG